CGCTTTAACGATCTTTTAATACGTTGAACCTCATGCCGCATCTTCATTCGATCAGACTTTACCAGCAATTCTCCCGTTAAGTGATTAACAGAAGTTCAGTCATGCCCGGTTCGCTAAGTTTACTTAAAAGCCTTAAAGAAACAAGAACTGTGTGCCTTATTAGCCTTTACCTTGACCTTCATACACGAATATTCAGTTTTTATCGTGTTTTGTAACGTTTTTTGTCGTATGCATCCGTCATGATCTTGTTGAAGCCAGGCTAAAGCCATGGTTGATTTATACGCCATTGCAATAGATTCTCATCCTTTTACGTTTTAGTCCATTGTTCGAAAATGCGTATAAAAGATCATCGACGTTAAATCAGAGGCACATGAATAACGCATCTTCAATTTTTGTTGGGCATCGTGTTGTTGGGCAAAACGAAAGCAAAAGGAGCAGAAGCCATACTATGTCAGCTAGAGTTAAAGAGCACACAAGAGTTGGACTTCATATTAAACAAGGCCTTCTCGTGAAATTCGCACAACCAGTTGAAGCGACCATCATGATTACCAGATACAAGAAGTCACCGAGCTTGTCTACTTGGGATAGGTAATCGTCTCAGACGATGCCTTTGGTCAAGAGCTTGTTAGAAGCAGGGGTACGTATAGAAGAGACACTTATCAAAACAGAAAATCATGAGTTTAGTAGAACCGTATTATGTGAAGGTACAGTGTTACCAACAGCACTGTATGGATGCAAGACTTGAGCATTAACAAAAAATTAAAGAACCGAAAAGGATGCGGCAGCTGGCTATGGAAAGAAAGGCGCTGTAATTTCCATCATCCAGGGACAAGCTGCGAAATGAGAACATTCACGAGAAGGCAGGTCATAGTATCAATCTGACAAGAAAGAAAACGACAATGGACAGGTCACATTGCACGATAACGATGGACTTCAGCAGTGACGGACGGGTGCCCAATGGGCTGCAAGTGCAAAATTAGAAGATCTCGGTTGATATGGGACGATGAGTTATAAGGGAGTTATGGAAGCTGGCAGCGACAAACCGCGAGGCACATGATTGCAAGCATCGATAGTATGCAATAGTGATCACGAAGCAGGATCAGACAATAATAATAATCAATAATTCAAACCAATGGTAAGGATTGATTATTTTGAAATGAAACTTAAACTTTTAAACCGTAACTTATTCTTCGCGCTTCTGTAAGTGTAAGATATAAACGTTTCTGCTGTGTTAACCGTCGTATGGTGACCGTCGTATACTTGTCTGCCTCAGTATTCTGTCCTTAATTATGGACGGTACCAGTGTCACCCCAGACATCGATCTCGCAAAATATCGTCATTATGGTGAATTCAGTGACAGCATCAGATTTCCACTGACGATGCTACTCTCCAAAAACTGAATCAGCATGAAGACCATCCGCAGTAGAAAAGCTTTATTTCTAGACAGTCTGTCATGTGTGCCTGGTAGCAACTTCTTTGCAGTGAACCATGGGATGCCTTACATCATATATTCGCTAAGAGCAACTGCATAATTCCTTCACCCGAGCAGACCATAACAAAAATAATACGGCATAAGTGAATGCACCTTCTCAGGGCATGCAGTTACTATTAAATTTCCATGTTCAAGAGGCGTCAATATGGGATTGCCTCACGTGTAAACGTCTTGGACGCTCTTTGCCACTTTTTGACCCTCAGCAGGTGACCCTGCTGATGACCTATTGAATGGCCATTGTCCATGTCCGACATTAGCACAACGGCGAACTGACCATCAACGAAAAGAACAACAACAACAACGCGGATCAGAGAACTAGTCCTCGCTCGTTTATGTAGTGTGTCACTTGACGACGAACGGTTCGATGTCGGTGCGGTGTGTTTCTCACGGGTCAGCACCTGTTCAACCGCATTTGAAGCCACTTGGTGTTGACCGA